ATGTCTTTAAATAATTAATTACAAGAATATTTAAATCTAATATTCAGAGGGCAAAGTTCTCTCTGCCACAAAAATATTAGATTGACTCACAGATTTACTATCAAATATGCAGAAAACCAAATTACTTTTGACCACAATGTGTACATTAAAAGCATGCCATGAATGTTTTCATACTGGTGGACAGAACAAACATGTAGAGCTAGTTCTCTATGAAGCCTTGCAAGGTTTACTACGGAGCAGTCTACAAAGAGATTAATACATTCTGAACACAATGGACCTTTATTAAGGTTAAAAAGTATTTTCAGGTAAAATAACTGAACTGGCTACATAGTCATATCCTTTAACATCTGCCATGAGAGGGGGGTGCATCCTTCTTTGATCATTGCTGATGAAACAGAGTTGCCCAAGGTTTGTCAGTGAGGAAATGCTCTAATTGTTAACCTCATGGTAACTGTGCAAGGTGGTATGTTTCATGTCCAATAAAGTATCCAGAAGATATGATAAGTTTATGAGATAGGGACTTCATGGTCTGAACAATTTTTTTTTCTTTTATGACTATCAGCAATCTTAGGTAAATGATAAGGATGATGTGACTAACTTTGGGGAAGCAAAATAGAGTTTCTCCACCACATTTCTTGAAAATATCTGCAAAGGATTCCCTGCCCTGAACGACGACAATCATTAAATTCTAATTCTTAACAATAGGGAGCAACTGGAGAGCATGGTACACTCTTTACTATGATAAATGTTTTTTTACAGTTTGAGCATGCATAAGGTTACAAATGTAACAATTGATTAAGCACTGAGACTCAAGTGAAGTATAGGCAAATGGGTATATGCACACATATCAAGAGGAAAATGCTATCAATAATTATTATTACTCTAATAGATATTAAATTACAAAGTCTGATGGTTCTCTAGGGTATAATATACAATGTATGAGTTAGAAAGATTCATGGATAAACCTAATTCCCTTTAAAAGGTAGTTTGTTTCCTGGCAAGCGCAGGGTCCTGAGTTTAATCTCTGGTACCCCCCCAAAAAAAAGGTAGTTTGTATTTATATGATATGAGGCACATAACATAACATCACACATAAGAAAATGATACAAAAAGAACAGAATTAGACATACCTTTATCTGTTGTGTTTATAATATCGATCTTAAAATAATGATGAAAAGGATAGTTGCTTTACAGTGTGAATATTTTGAGGTATGGTAAAATACTCTAGATACTTAAAAATTGCAGAATGGCTAGTTCTTTTGTATCATCTTTAGGAAATTTGCCCAAATGCCAAGTTATTAGGTGCATTGTGACCTTTGGCTGATATTTTACTGATGGTGATGCCAAGTCAGTGTAAAAGAGAGAACGTAATGATCAAAAGACTGAGGGAAAAACAAACAAACAAAAAAGAGTTTGTATGGTTTACACTATCCAGTCCAGCAAATTTACAGATGCTCTCTGTTTGACTGCTATAGTTTATTGCTTATGTTATTGTTTTCTTTTTTCCCCATGTGCTTTACTAGCTTTATCTGAAAATATTTTCTATGTGTCCATACTGTAAAATATCATATTTTTCTAGAGATTTAGCATGGTGAAGAACCTCTGCTTTGCTTCCCCAAGGGTTACATACATCAATATTCTAGTTACTCACTTTCAAGGCCAATGCAAACTATGCTCACAAGATTAAATAGACCAGAGTAACAAATAAATTCAGTGTATACTGAGGAAGTATGTCACTTAGTTATTCACATCCTGAATTTCTGATGAATGCAATATACCTGTTGGACAGCACATTGCTACTAAACAATCACTGACCTACAATTCAAAGATGGAACAAAACCCTAATATCGCTTCCCTGTAATACATACAAAGCAGTCATCATCTGTGGAGTCCTTTGTGTGAAGGGTCTGATCTAGCTTGGAAAGGATGGCTCATAAAGCATTCTCTGAAACATTCTTAGAACAATACAGACAGGCATTTCTCTGCAACAGACCAACTCCTTCCTCTCAAACATAGTGTTTTCTTTTTCTTTCAAATGTGACTCAAAGTATCACCGTATAATTAATTTCGCTTTCTATATACTTCTTAAGAGTCCTATGTATCCACCATATGCTTCCCATTGTTGCCAATGAACCTTACAAGTATAAAGTTTTGAATACAGTGTTATGTTTGGTTTAAGTAGATTTGCTTGATTTATCTAGTATGAGATAGCTGCAGCTAGACAAGAATTGTAAGTAGTTAGAAGACCACCTACATTTTTGCTCTACCTCAGATAGAGAATTTTACCTGACATATATATGTACCTAACATATGCATATATTCAATAATGAATATAATTAATGCTGTATGTGTCTGTTATGCAACTTATCACCCTAAATTTGAGTCTAGAAAAAATATGCTAAAAAAAGAGATCTTTCCCTATGAAGTATAGTCAAGTTGGTGCAACATGTCTCTAGTCAATATAATTGCCCTTTGGCTTTTAGATGTACTTCAGAATATTATGAAATACATGATGAAGAATTTATCAGAAATTGCTATATATTAGAAAATATGATGTCAAGATACCAAAAAGAGTTATATATGAAGACTAGATAATTTATCTGAATGGTTTTAATATTAAAATGTTAAAATGTGAACCTGAACTATTAATAAACTAAATGTTATACTGTTTGTTGTTTTGATTTCAAAACAACATGGCAGTATAGTAGGAAACCAATAGGCCATGAATTAATTATTATGAAAGCTGATGAGTACTTCGGAATCTGGTAATTTGTCTGCATTTATATATTTGAAATTTATCATAAAATAAATCTAAAGATTTTCTGATTTGAATTTTAATCCATTTATTATTTCTGGACTAATTCACTCAGTGTTTTATGTAAGAAATTATCCAATGTAAAGTAAAAAGCATATAATACCAATGTTTCCACACATTTAGGTTAAATGAAGTATTCCTTTTTAGGAATAAAAATATTTATTTAAATTGTCTACATTCTGAGATTAAATTCTGAAAGATACGAAGTTACTTGAAAAGTATGATTATAGCATATTTATAAATATATCCTCAGGGGAAAACAGAATAAGAAAATATAAAAAAAATGGTTACTAACAATTGGGTTTATGGGCTGGCGGGTTAACTAAGTTTTTTAAAGTGCCCGCTTGGGTAAACTCAGTCAGTCACAGGGGACCGTGGTTCAATCCCCAGCTCCACATGGCATAAAAGACTTGCCCATAAGGCAGCCTGAGCCTGCCAAAAAAGAAAACAAACAAACAAACAAAACCCAAACAAGCAAAAAAAAAAATTGGGTTTAAATTAAGAAAATAATTCTTTTAATTTTCTTCACTTTATTCCTATGTATTTTTTCAAATTATTTGTAATGATCCCGCCTCATTTTAAAATTAAATAAATATTCATTAATGGTAAAGATATACTCTTCTTCATCAAGGATTTTTGCATTTACTAAAAGGAGAAACTGCAAACACACAGCATTTCCTTAATAGTTTAAATCTTCATACCTGCAAGTGAAATACACCCAGAGGAAAAGAAATGTCAATACAGATTTTATCTGATCATAAAAACATAAAAGAGCTTTCTGTGTGTTGGGTAGAAATAAGGGAGGAACTGACTTCTTTGAAAGCCAACATGAGTGTGAAATTTGGGCCCTTTTGTGATGAGATCATTTTGTGATGAATGCAAAGGGAGTGACAAATTAAAGTTATCAAAATCTTGTCCCTGGAGCTTCTGAGGCTCATACTGTATTGAATTTCTTTTTTTGAGCAACAGAACAAATAAAGCATAGGAATGGGGAGGAAGAGGAGTTACAGTCCAAAAGTCTGTGGCTTTCAGTAGGGAGATGGATATGCTCAGAGAGACATAGATAAATGAGGAACAGAATTAGAAACAACACAGCAACAACTACGTACAATAGATATGGAAAGTTCTTGTTAGAATGCTATCTTTATTACCCTAAAAGATGATTTTCTTCATTTTATGCACACTTATATAAAGTAAAATCAAGTTGTAACTTTTAACGGTTTGGCTGACTATGCTGCTCATGATTAAACAGGCTTCGAGTCCAGCAGAGCATATCAGATGCCAGGCAAGTTACCCTTTCTTTCCTCCTCCCCTTTTGGTATAATATTGGCCACTGCATATTTGTGCAGGCCAACTGCTATCAAACTCAGCTCTTTGGAACTGTGTCTGATTTTACAATTCTCTATCAATACACCTTGAGTAATCTCTGTTCTCTTCACAGACACTGAAATATCAATGATTCCAGAAAGCCATACTTTTTGAAATTAAATTTCCTTAAAAGACACAGAAACAAAACTTCAAATTTATGCTGACTTGAAGCTCTAGTCTTGGTTCTCTTACTTAACTTGAAAAGATGGGAGTGGCCTTATTCATATCTCTTAAGGGTATTTTTCTGTGTGTTGGTATATGCAAGAGTAATCATATCTGCTTTTAAGATTAACCCAAATGAATCAAATGCATTTCAAATGTGCAGAATGTTATAGAATACAAATAGGTAATTCAAAGTATCCCCAAAGAAGTTTGGAAGGTTTCACGTGTGTCTACTTAATGCCAAACATTCAATGTTCCCCATAGGAAATATCAGTGCCCCCTTCATCTTAACCTTTTTTGTAGTGTGGAGTTGCCTTTGGGAAAGTTAATATATCTGGAGATACTACCAAACAAGTATCTGAGTGCTTCTATCACCCTATGCAACAAAGTCATTTAAAATTGTCAATATTCATGATAATGGATTGTGGGATCATACTTTATAACTTATAACAGGTGGTTTTTCAAATGAGCAACAAGATACAAATATCTACCCTTTACCAATGTCAAAATACGTTGTGTTCAAATTCAGTTCTTGAGATTGTGGATTCAACATAGCCCTTAAAAATTAGTTCTTCTGAAGATAATAGAAATATATTTGTGTCCTCTGCACCTCAAAATTTTGTTTTGTCATCTAAAGATAATTAAAGTTACTTACCAGCTAGCAGTGTTGTGAAGAATATCGAGTTAGTGACGATGAAACATTCTGAAATGAAAAGAATATAGTAAGTGCTAGGTAGTTAATAAATATGTAACAACCTGTATATGTATATGCCATAAATATATGACAACCAATCATAGAAAAAATTGTTACTTTGGGTTGCTGACTCAGTGATACTATATAGAAAGTAAAACATGCTTCCCTTTAGAGTGAAAAGACAACCATTCACTAAAAAACTGGCTTTTGTAACTGCTTGAGGGTCTCCAAGCACTAGTTATGAACAACTTGCTGTTCATCTCTGTAATTCATTGTAACTTGCATTGAGAAAGTTATGTTTTAGGGTCAATTATCCATGGTCTGTTTAAAAAAAGAAATCTAATCATTGTAAACCATTAGGATTTGTAGCTCCATTTGAACTTCACTGTGCTTTTAATTAAGCATTTCTTAAATAAAAAACACAATGGTTTCTCCTTGTTTTGGTTTCTTTGTTGTGTTTTGAATATAAATACTGTGGCACTGGTGGGAAAACAAGCTATGGATTATTTACCTCTTATTTTATGAGTAGTGAGTTGCTGGCCTTATCTTCCTTGGGCATAAATAAATATATAATATTATAATCCAAGTCTGGTAAGATAAATACAAGGAATGAGTTGAAACCTTTTAAAGAAGAAATATTTATGCTAAGTTACAGGATAACATAACAAATCCCAAATTAACATTAAAAAAGTTTCTACTATAGAGCAAGAAAGTCCCCACATACTGTCTAATCAGCATTTTCAAAACTGCTTTCCTAACAAAGAAAAACCTCCTTACCTGTAATACCACAAGTGTTTGTTTCTTCTCAAGGCTTTTAAAATTTAGAAGCCACAGGTAGTTTTCCCAAACATCACCTCTGACACCCAATAACACCACCACAATGAAAGATTTGAAAGTGTCCATTATGCTTACTTTATACCAAATGTGATTTTGAAAGATCAGGAATTTGTGTAGCTAAAATTTACGTTAAAAAAATCACTTCATGTTAATTTTTTCTATAGTTACCATCCGAATCCCTATAGAAATAGAAGAAATCTAAAAACAATTGGCCAGAGGAAATAAGAAAAGTGAAGATTCAAAGGATCCTGGAGCAGAGTAAAGACAGTACGTTTTAGGAGAATCAGACACCTCAAGTACTACCACATGTGACTATGAAATTCAGTGAGAACCACCAAAGTAGAGTGCCAAAAATTCTGCTTTTTAAATAAGCCAATGGTCTATGAAGCAAAGATCACTGAAAAGGATCTCTAGAAAAAGTGTAAAATTGCTTTTTGAAATTTTTTGCTCTTACAAAGACATTGATGGGAGAATAAGGAATTTTGAATTTCAATGAGATGATACCCCT